ATCGGAAAATTAGATATTCGTAAAAAACAAATCGAATCACAAATACTGCATTTTTTTCGGATATCCGATCCGCGTCGAGACCTATCGCATCGCATTGATATACGTTACAGAAAGTGGAGGAATGCGCAACAAAACATGTGCAACCTTTAATATCATTTGTCACTGATTTTCGGCTATGCCTACACGCAAGCCTCACCTTTTGCCTATTGCGATTTTCAATTTTAATAAAAGAAGATATTACAAAATCTTGAATTAAACGTTGACTTGTTGACCTTCTTACATTGATTAGCTTTCAAATGCCCATTTTTTGTCCTTATTATTAGAAGCTAAACTAAAGTTATTATGTAAAAAAACCAAACTTGACGGAGAGGTGTCTTTTGAACAGAAATATGGTATTACAACACTAAAATCACTTACACTTTTGTTAATTTGATTTAAAAGAAACAGCTTTTAGCTTACTGTTCTTGATATATGAAAAAGAAACCCAAGATTTTGAGCTCCGTAAGATTTTGATTACTGTTCTTGAAAGCTTTTTGATTGATGAACAATTCTTCTTCTTCTTGTCTTGTTTCAAAGCTTGGTGCTTTTGGTTTGTTGTTCCCATTTTGTCATTTCGTGGTTTATTTTTCTGGGTTTCAAGGGTTATGAAAAAAGTGAAATTTCTTTAAGCTCAATTCGATTGAAGATTTCGACCAACCCTTGATGATCTTAACCTACAATAATCATGGAATTTCAAGTCCTAGAATCATAAAGTCTATACCTTTTTTTCTCTTTTTGTGTTGCTAGTGTTCTTGCTATTGATCCTCTCACTCAGAGGTGTGATCTTGAATCTTGAATCTTGAATCTTTGAAGTTGGCTACTAGTTGTGATCACATTGTTGCTTAATGTCATTTGTGTGTTCTTTGGGAATCTCTGCTTTTGGATATAAGTGGTGGTGGTGTTTACTCAAGATTGTGGATTGAGGTACTTTGAATTTGAGTTTAATGTGTTCTGGATCTTCTATCTGTTTGGTTTTCTCAGGTATCACTGAAAATGAATCAAAAAAGAAAGAGCTCGTATCTACGTCGGTTGTTCTCTTTTGTGTTTTTGCTTGCAATGGTTTTCCTTATAGGAAATGCGTTTATTACAGTAGACTATAATAAGGTAACTTCTTCTGTAACCTTGAAAGCATTATCTTGAATCTGAATTTGTCAATAGTCTGCAACAGTTTGGGTATAAATCATTGACAGGGCATCTCGGGATGGAGTTCGATAATTAGACTAAATCTTGCAAAACTGAAGATGTGCAAGGTCGGTTGATAAGCTAAGCTACTCAGTTTCTGTGATCAAAAACAAGTTACCTGTCTATTTGAATCTTGATATGTTCATGTTACTTTGCTCAATTAGATACAATTCAGGTCTCCGGGAAGCGAGACATTACCGAGAGGCATTGTTGCAAGTACATCTGACTTGGAAATGCGACCATTATGGGGCGCTAAGCGGAATAAGGTATTTACTCGTTGCCAGCCATTCCAATTTCCCAAAGTTATCATTAACCATTTCCTTACCGCTACGTTTTCTGTTTTTTTTTTTGCTCAGAACCCAAAGCCAAACTTATTGGCTATGGCAGCTGGAATAAAACAGAAGGAAAGTGTCAACAAGATTGTCAAGAAGGTAAAACCTCAGACAATGCCTCTTGGTAATGAAATGGATTTGATGTGATATATCTTCTTTTTCGAACTTTTCATGTGGCAGTTTCGATCCAGTGAGTTCGTTGTGATGCTGTTTCATTATGACGGCGCCGTGGATGAATGGAAGGAGTTTGAGTGGAGTGAAACTGCTATTCATATTTCTGTCATAAACCAAACCAAATGGTAAGTTTTTTGGGTTCAAATCATAAACCGGAAGCAGAGTTATATCATTTGGCTGTGCAGTTTCAATATCTTTCTGATTCTTGTAGGTGGTTTGCAAAGCGTTTTCTACACCCGGATATTGTCTCAGCGTATTCTTACATATTTCTGTGGGATGAAGATCTCGGTGTTGAGCATTTTGATGCTACAAGGTAGAAATGTCATACAAAAGTGCATATTGTTTGTCATGATAAAGCTGTGAAACTGATATTTATGTTATCAATGCAATGCACATTTCAGGTATGTTTCAATAATTAAAGAAGAAGGGCTTGAAATATCGCAGCCTGCTCTTGATCCCAATTTGTCTGAAGTGCATCATCAACTTACCGCACGAGACAAGAAATCGAGAGTACATAGGTACTTCTCTCATGTTCCAATAAATAAAGTTCTAATATTATTGGAAGAGTTACTTAATAATGCATCTTATTGTAATGTTTTGCTATGTACCAGGAGAACATACAAAGCCATTGGTCGGGCTAGGTGCAGCGAGAATAGCACCGGACCTCCTTGCACGGGGTAATAGAACTGAATTTCGTTTTCTACCTCAGTGAAAGCCTAATCATTCAATTTACTTTTGCTAGTACATGTTGAAGTATTTATTCTTAAACTCAAAAAACTCTCTACCTACAGATTTGTCGAAATGATGGCTCCTGTGTTCTCCAAAGCAGCGTGGAGGTGTACATGGCATATGATTCAGGTATTGCACAAGTTTAAACTTATTAAATCATAAACTAATGAAAACCCTCACCATTTAAATACTCTAATTGTTTGATTGCTTTTTTTTATTTGCAGAATGACTTAAACCACGGATGGGGTATAGATTTTCAGCTTGGATATTGTGCACAGGTACAAACTATGACTAAGCCAACCCAATACACGCTTTAATTTTTGACTCTTTGTTGCGTTTGTTTTTATATTAGTACTTGGTTGTTGCTTTGAATAGGGTGATCGAACAAAAAATATCGGGATTGTTGATTCGGAATATATACTTCATTTGGGTCTTCCTACATTAGGAGGTTCAGTTGAAAATAAGGTTTGAATTCTTACCAATCCTATGTCCAACCCCTTATGATTTTTATTTAGATAGTAATCATAGTCACTGCGTATATGCAGACCGGTTCAGGACAATTCGATAAGACCGAGAGTCGGCATAGTTCAGACAAATCTGTATGCAGTTTCTATACTATGATTTGCTCTCTCTCTTTTTTACATTCCCTTTAGATATCCAATTATTTTCTAATTACTATTACCATGCAGAAACCATCATCAACATCCCAAATGTCATCTGGTAGATCTGAGGTTAGCTTCTAACCAGTTTGGTATTTGCAAGAAGATGATACTAGTTTTCATTTCTTAATTCCCATACAGTGTATGGCTAAAATATCTATTAATATAAACTGTTACTACCTAGGTTCGGAAGCAGACTTATGCCGAACTGGAGACTTTTAAACACAGATGGAAAAATGCTGTGAAGAACGATGAGTGCTGGATAGACCGGTTCCAATCGTGAAAGATTGCTTGTTTTGGACACAATCATGCATTCATAGAAGCACAAGAATACCCGGAAGACCGCAAGGAAGCAAAAGAAAAGGAGAGATGATTACCAGACTGGTAAGATGACAGCATTCTGTGGATCATCATATTGATGATGTGCTGCATTTTAACCAATTACTGAAGGTATACATGTAGCTTAGGATTTTACAATTTTGTACTAGAGAACCGGAGATTTTTTACTGTTCTTCTATCTCCCACTTTATAGAGCCTCAAAGTTTAGCACAAAAATCTTACTGGTAACTTATATATGTACCACTGAAAGTACACAAGGTTTTGAAATAAAGATGAGTTTTTACAATTGGTTTATGACTCTTTCCGTTTTCTCATTCTTCTTGCTGAGTAGCTCCAGTTAGAAAAGAGCAGATTTGCTTATGATTCTTGAGATTATTCCTCCAAGCTCTTCTCCACAATCCTCTTGTACATGATGGCCAGCCTGTTAAGGGCGAAATTGGTTCAAGTTAGCTTTGTTTGTTTAGCAATGTCTCATGGATATAAGGAAGTAGCTGATAGTGATACCATTGGAAGTTCAACGAGTTTGTGTCCTGAACTCTTGCAAAAGTCTTCAACTCCTTCATAGCTTAGCCACCTGTCTCGTTGTCCCCAGCACACGGTTGTCGGGATTTTCCAGTTTTTATTCATTAGTGATGTCCTCATCTCTTCTGCATAGCCCTGTCAGGTAAAACTCTTAGAAAATATCCAATCTCTCTTGATATCAACATGAGAGTCTTAATTTTGACAGAAAACTTTATGAACCTTAAGCTCCTTCTTCATGGCCCTGCTGATGGCGTTAAGCGCAAAACCAGAAGAGCCTGAGGTGAGATAAGGTCTTCGGTAGACCATTGCATCGTCTTCTTTCATTTTGTAAGGACCACAGCTTGTCAAAGGCTTGTCACTTGCTCTTAGTGGATCCTATTGGTTGTAGATACATCAAGAATTTATTGTACAGAAAAACAAAAAGAAACACGTTCGACGAAACCAACCTGAGAGAAAATCTCCCCGAGCAAAAAGTTGCTGAATACAGACAAGGTTGATGGAAGTTTAGCATGTTCGGGTGTGAGCTGAAACCGCAAATACAGTCTCTAAGTTAGTTTGAACGAAGAGAAGAAAATGGTAGGTTTTGTTCAAATACAGGTTTCTTTAGGTTCCTTCCTTACAGGAGGATTCAAGAGTATGAGATTCTTGATCTTCTCTGGTCGTTTTCTTGCATATTTTACCACAGCAGTTGAGAAGTAGCCCTGACAAAAACACCAAAGATGAGAAGTTAACACTGAACAAATCTGAAAATGCTGCTTCTTCAGTCACAAAAGAAGTGATGCTACTGACCTGCACAACAAGTGAGACTTCACGGGTGGTTACTTCATCGATGAATGACTCAAGCGAATAAACAAACTCTGCAAAACCGCAGGAAAAAAAAAAATCGATATTCTGACAAAACTCTCTCTGGTTAAGGTTTGTCTACAACCGGGGTTTAAGAACATGCTACCGTCCAATGTATAGTTGAATCCATATCCGGCCTGAGGCTTGTCAGAAAATCCAAATCCTAGCCAATCGAAAGCAATGGCGCGGTAGTTCTTTGAAAGCACGGGAAGAGCTTTCCGGTAAGAGTATGACTAATAAAAAAGAAAATGCTCAAAATCAGTAAGTTATTCATATGCATGAAGATCAATGTGTTTGAAAGAATACTACTATTACCTGAGATGGGAATCCATGGATCAGTATAACAGGAGGACTGTCTAGACTACCGGATTCTACACAAAACCATCTAAGGAAACAAAATCGTAGACCCTAAAGCAATTTCTGCATGACATAAGAAACAGAAATTTGGAGGTAGTAGTGTGTTGTGTTTACCTGAAAACATCTTTGGAAGCTTGAGAGCTAGCTCCCATTGTTAGTCCGAAAATCGGATCTTTGGCTTCTACACCGGATCCACCAACTCTATGAGCTTTAACCTGAAACATTGCAGAGTCAAAATGTTAAATCAAAACAAAACTATAGATCACTAAAGCAAACTTTTTTCCTACCCATTTTCCTTGCTTTAACCACTCGTCTGATGAACTCGGCTGATCCGAATACTTTCCTGCGACGAAAAAAAACAAGATTTTGTTTTCCAATGATACCAAGAAAGCAAAAGGTAACTTTTTTTGGTGATGAAGCAAGAATGGTCATAAACCTCCACTGAAAGAGAATCCATCTCCAACGGAAACAGGAGCATCAATGAGATAGTCCTGTTTGAAGAAGAAGACAAGATATGATTAATTAGTTCTTAAGGTAAGTGTCTCGATTAGGAGTTGTGTAAGAAGGAAAGGATACATCTTGGTTACTGGATTTGCAGAAGAACTTGGGATGTTTTGTAGGAGAGTATCTGGAAAGGA